GAGCCAGTTCAGACGTAAGGTATACAAACATGCAGAGTGGTAGGAATAGGCTGAAGTGGGAAAAGATAGAAGAACAGCCAAGCAAGGAGAAGCCGATGGTACATGATTTTGTAAAAACACGTCTTAGGGACATGAAACAACCGTAACGATCCCGACTACGCATGGGAATATTTTAATAGAACAAAAGGCAGCAGAAAGGGGGGTGGTACTGGGGCATTCATTCATAAAAGTACAGACTGGCAAAGGGTCAAGCAGGAGTACAATGAACATCTATGACTGAAAGGGAAAGTGGCAGGATCAATGACACTCCTCGGTTTTGTATACTTGTGGACAGGAGCAAAATCCAGAGAGTAAAATAAAAAAAATGATGCAGTGCATAGGAAATGACATTGCTGAACTGGGAGAAGAGTGCGGAGTAATTATATTCGGAGATATGAATGCGCACGTAGAAGGTATGAATGGATATAATGACCCAACAGGCAGAATGCTTATAGATATGTATGAAAGGCATAATTTAATCATTTGCAACAGCACCAAAAATGCGAAGGCCAGATAATATGAGAGGTGGGAAGACTACAGTCGACGATAGATTAAACATTAACGTCACATAGGATGTATGATCGGCTAAGGGCGATGAACATAGATGAATATGGGTCCAGAAGCTTAGGTAGGAATCACAAACGTATCAAGTTGAGTGTTGGAAGTGAAATGAAATTGGAAAGGTGGCATTACGAGCATCCACACGGTAATAGTTATTCGCAAAGGTAAATAAAAATAGCAACAAAAGGTATTAAGAAAATAAACAGCAAGGATACTAAAGCAGAGTGGAGGTACACAAATAAAACTCGATTGTCTGAGATAAAGCTTGCTAAGGCACGAGTGCAATCAACCGGGAAAAGCAGAAACAAACCCAAAAGCTGGTGAGATGAGGATGTTAGGAGAGCCATGGTAGGACGTTAGGAAGCCTCCAGGGAACACAAGTATGCTAAACAGATGGGTTAACCGGAAGATGATGTCAAAAGAATTTGGATAACTTTTTGAGCTGCAGAAGAAAAGTGTCCGATTGGATTAGTGACAAGATTAGACGAAAGGAGACCCAATGGATGGCGGAAGTAAGCTAAAAGGAGAGAAAGGCATGGAAAGTATAGGAACCATCTCAATTGTCTGTGTAATAAGACAAGCATGAAACAGAGGTTTCTAGCTACAGTTCAAGAGTCAGACTAGAAGGGGACGAGGCAATGGAATATATAAAACCAATGATGACAGAAAACTTTAAACACCAAGGAAACGCTGCATGCACCAAACCAAATGAGGATGAACCAATTAGCTCAGTGGCTCCGCTTAGACAACGATATTGGGAAAGGGCGGAGAAAAGAGTTTCGAATAGCACATCAACAGGCCCTGACGGCATCTCAATCATAGTAATAAAGAAACTAGGACCAAAATCTAAGCAAACATTTAGAGAGGCTGCGAGCAAAGCAATAATTTATGCTGAAGCTCTCAATGGGTGGAAACTAAGCAGGATGAGCATGATCTACAAAGATAAGGGGGACAAAACTGATATAAACTACTACCGTCCTATAACAGTGACATCAGTAGTTTACAGGCTGCTGATGCAGATAATAAAAAAAGACTACAGACATGAGAAGAGATAGAGGGAGTGCTGGGAGAACTACAAAATAGGTTCCGTAAACAAAGGAGGTTGGAGGACAATATGTTTTTATTGATGCAGCGTGCTGAAACAGCGGAAAAAGAACACAGGCCCCTGTGGCTTGAATTTCTAGATATCAAGGGAGCTTACGATAGTGTGATTCGAAAAGACTTGTGGGGAATACTAGACACTCTAGATGTAGAATATGGAATGACTAATCTTCTAAAGGATATCTATGAAAGTAACAAGGCAGCTAACAAATGGGAAGAAAAGGTATCTGAACTTATAGAGATACAACACTGGCTTTGACAGGGATGTCTCTTGTCACCTTTGTTATTTATGCTATATCTCCAAGGACTAGAAGCCAAATAGAGGGGAGTTGAGTCGGCTGTAGCGTCTGTTTTGCCAAGCAAAGAAAGCACATTGATTAGTTATTACCAGCATTGATGTATGCAGGTGATGTAGTAATATTATCCGACAACAAGAAAGATCTGCAGAGATTGATAGACATCTGTGGTAATAAGGGAGCTACGTTAAATTTGAAATTCAGCAGGGCAAAATTGGCAATCATGATTTTTACTGATAACACAGGTAGTGAGCAAAAGATACAGGATGTCACGCTAGAAATGGTGAATAAATACAAATATTTGAGCGTATGAATAAATACCGGGGTATCTAAAGGAGCACGAAAAACAAGTGATGACTAAGGGCACCAGGAATTCAGCTGTAGTGAGAAATAGGGCACTGTGAAACTACAACAGGTATGACGTTGTGAGAGGGATTTGAAAAGGTGTCATCCCGGGTATGACGTTCCGCAATGCAGGCTTATGCATGAAATCGGAGGGTCAAGGATGATTACAAAAAAAAACAACAACGTGACATTGGTAGACATGCTTTGGGAGCACACGTGAATTCGCCAAATCAGGGAGTACAGGGAGACATGGTATGAATATCGTTTGCGTACAGGGAAGCTAGCAGCAAGATAGAATTCGAGGAGTGGTTGACAAAATGGGAGAGGAGCGTTGGGCTCGGAAAGTTTTCGTACATGAAGAATGTCTATACTAAATGGAGGAAGCCAACTAGGAAATTATCAAGCAAGTATTTAGACAACAGCAGAATATAAAGCCAAAAGGGAACATCGGTAAAGAAGAAGGTGAAGGAAACAGAGAACGACATATGGAATATGGAAATGCTTACGAAATCATCAGTGGAGAGCTACTGAAATTTTAAGGAGAAAATTGCAAGGGAAAATATCTACGATGATTCTCGGGGTAGTTCTCTGCTCTTCGAGGCAAGCACGGGAGTATTGCGGACCAAGACATACCGAGCGAAATACGAAGGCACAGACACGGTATGTAGCCTCGCCGTGGTGGTCTAGTGGCTATGGTACTCGGCTGCTGGCCCGCAAGTCGCGAGTTCAAATCCCGGCTGCGGTGGCGCCATAACCGATGGAGGCGGAAATGTTGTAGGCCCGTGTGCTCAGATTTGGGTTCACCTTAAAGAACCCCAGGTGGTTGAAATTTCCGGAGCCCTACATTCAGCGTCTCTCATAATCATAAGGTGGTTTCGGGACGTGAAAGTACACATATTAATCAATCAGACACACTATGTAGTGAGTGTGGAGAGAAGGAGGAAATGGCTAAACATTTGATAATGATCTGTAAAGGGCTCCACCCTTTAGTCGAAGATAATGGCGCCGAATGTTTTGAAGCATTGGGGTCTAGGTACAGTGAAGGCGAAATAGACTTTAAACGGGTACAAATAACCAAGAGGAGGCTCACTTATTGTTGGCTACAATCGGGGCGTGAGTGAAATTGAAATATTAAACACAGAGTGAAAGTACTCAACTCTATGGCTAGGTGGCGTGAGCCACCGCCCGTTCTAAAGGGAAGAGCCGGATACGTACATCCAACCATCCACTCCAGAGTCTGACGTCTATTTGGGAGAGGTCAAAAGACACTTACTCGCTGCCGCAGCCGCGCTTGCAAAATGAGCGCGTTACTAACATACCACAAAATAGGAATTGTGAATGCTTGCAATACTCTTGTGTATACTTGCGGGCTCGTTTAGTGCGTCTTTTTTTCTCTTTGAACAGCGTGCTGTAAGTGTCGAGCTGTGGTAGTTGTTTTTCCGATTTCGTCCTGTGTATGCCAATTGTGTTCGTGCTTTCTGCTTAGGGTTTGCGCTGCAAGTTTCAAGCTGCTTGTCGTTCTTTGCGTGTGCTTGTAATTTATTGCTGTTACTAAAATAATGCAATAACGCTCTACTAGCTCAGTGAACAAACTTTGTTACTTCCATGTATACAATGTTATAGATAGAGGATCAGCCATGATTTTTTGTATTTCTTGTAAATATAATAAAGCCTTTCACATTTTTCAACATCGCTGATGCGCTCTGCAAAAAAAAAAAACACACGCATTGGGGTATAGTTAAACACAGCTACGCGAAACTCTGTGAAAAATGATGAAATAATTATTTAAAAGTGAGCAACCCTACCTAGAAGGTGTAGTGGCTAAGCTACTCGGCTGCTGACCCGCAGGTAGCAAGATCGAATTCCGGCGTCGGCGTTTGCACTTTCGATGGAGGCGGAAAATTTGTAGGCACGTGTGCTCAGAATTGTGAGCACGTTGAAGAACCCCATGTGGTCGAAATTTTCGGAGCCCTCCACTACGGCCTCTCTCATAATCATATGGTGGTTTGGTATGTTAAACCCCACATATCTATTAATTCAGAAATGAATGAAATTTTATAATGCCCGGCAGAACTATTATACTAAGGAACAAATTTGAAGCGCAGAAAACAAGAACCGAAGAGAACAGTACAAACAATAGTGTTCGTCGTGTGTACTCTTCTCTTCGGCCCTTGTTTTCTGCGCTTCAAATTTGTTCCGTATTTCGTACAACCACGCCAAAGCTTCCGTGCTTCTGTATAACTATTCTGGTGGCATTGGTTTGGTTGTTTCTCGAAGTGAGTAAGTTAAAATCAAAATTATCCCAACCAACAATCAAGCAATCTTATTTCTCGCTGATCGGGCAACCTATAGTCGAACAAATATTTTTTGTGGTGCCATCCTGGTAGGCTTTGAAAGATAAGCCCCATAAAAAAGGTGGCAATGATTATCTAAGTGAACCCAAAGGCGGACTTCTATGGCCACGCTGTGAGCAAAACTTTACCGAGAAGTACCGTCTCTCTTGGAGCATAATTTCTCTGAGAAATTTCGTCAGATTGCGGCACAACGATGCTCTCGACCACCACGCTTCAGTGTTCCGTATACTTTCGCTCGCGCATGTTCTTGGACTCCGCGGTGTTCTGAATAAACATGAGTGAACAAAGCGACACGAATGCTCACCAAATTTGCACTTAGGCCTGGGAGCAGCTACGGAGCGAACGAACTCGAGGCAGTTCTGCTGAAACTGGCCGTAAAATTGGTCGTCAGGTGCGATGTCAATCTGCATGCAGGCGAAGTGGCGCCTCGTAGGGTTCGCTGCCAACTGCGGGTCACAACAGGTGATGGCTGAACCATTGCTGACTGGGCAGATGGGAGAAGACTTTTTATTAAATTAGCTTCTAATCCGCATGTATCTCAATCGCGTGTTTTTGAGACTCTCTTAAGGAATTCAGTAGTATGTGCCTAAATGCGTGCATAACCTATATTGGTTGGTTGCAAGTATAAAGCAAAAGTTTCTTTTTCTTGTAAAAGTGTTTATAAAACCAATAGTTGGTTCGTAGTTAAACCAGTAATGTATGTGCGACGCTAACAACGCAAGGTGAAAATTGTTAACGTTCATTTTTATCTCGAGACTCGAATTGGTACTACGATACGCTAAACAATCACGCCATGCTGACTGTTTTGCACAATTAGTTGGAAATTTATTTTTTAATTCTTGCACTGTTATATAAATGAACAAAAACTTTCAAACTTGGTGCATACGCTACCAGTAATGTTTGCAGGGCATTGAGGAAAAAATCGTGTCTGCACAACCAATACTCTGTGATTCATATTTGATTAGTAACATCTGAATTTTTTGCCTCGGTATTTATGAGAAATATGACTGAAGTAAAACATAAAAGCTGCTCACCTTTCACTTTTGAGAAGCTGTTCTGTCTAACGCACTTTTTTACGCAAATTGTGCTACAGCTATAGGGCAATACAGAGTACGTTCTACCACAAACATTCGGTGTTGTGCATATCTCGATACTTTGCGAAGTTTGGTGGCTCCAATGTGTGATCTCATTGTATTACTGGTTGCGACGGAGTAGCGAAGGCTTCCGCCAAGAATGAATTACAACTTTGTGCACCCCTCTGGTAATAAATATTTGCAGTAAAAAAATAGAGAATCAACCCCTTGTGATACACTGCCGGATGGAAGACTTGTTCAGTAAAAAGTGGCTTTATTTAGCCTAGCCCACACTACTGTAATGAAAATGAGGTTCTTGAGGCTCAACTCACATCGTGTAACGCCTGTTAGTGTGAGGTCATGATCAATAAACTGGCCAAACTGCATCAACATGAGGGTGTGCTGCTGGTTCGGTACATCAGCGTCCGGCATGAGGGTCGCCGAAACTTTTCTTGCGCTCGGAAGCGGACCCCCGTCAATGCTCACTCGAGGAAGCGTGAGACCTGCGAGGAAATTGACGGATGAGTTGTAATTCGCTGCTGTAGAAATAGAGATATCAAAGTTTCTAGAGAGAAGTGGTAAACTGCTAATTCATATCTGCGCAACAAGATGTGACATGTGCAGTTGAGATGGGGCATTGGCATGCTATTGTTTTTGTGTCATCATCCTAAACTCAATTATCAGTCATGCTGTACTAGCCAATCAAGCTGTTTCGTTCTGTCACCTGTGGTAGTAATGTCAATGTAATGGGTAGATCACTAATTGTTTTCTGCTGATAACATGAAGCGTTTTCTGCTGATAACATGAGTGTCTTTAATATTGCTCCTGTAATACTGAAGCATCATCAGCAAACGGCAAGCCCTTCTTGAGTCAGTCTGATGAGACATTTTGTCTGTCTGTGACAGTCTGTTGCATAGAGCAGAACAGGAATGGCTCAGCATACTCATGAACACCTGAAGAGGATGATTACTTGCCGTGTTATTACTTATGTAATATGTAAAATGCTCTATCTGTAGCTGTAGTTTTCCTGGAAAATTTTGCTTCAGAAAAACCACATTATTGAAAAAAAAGTCTGCTTTTATTTTGCAGTAAATTTATATCTTGCTCATGGTCTTCTCTTGTCTTAAACCAAGACAATCGCAGCATCCTTATACAAACTCAATGTTGAATTTATTATTTCTTGCCCCGCCGCGGTGGTCTAGTGGCTAAGGTACTCGGCTGCTGACCCGCAGGTCGCGGGTTCAAATCCCGGCTGCGGCGGCTGCATTTCCGATGGAGGCGGAAATGTCGAGGCCCGTGTGCTCAGCTTTGGGTGCACGTTAAAGAACCCCAGGTGGTCAAAATTTCCGGAGCCCTCCACTACGGCGTCTCTCATAATCATATGGTGGTTTTGGGACGTTAAACACCACTAATCAATCAATCAATCAATTTATTATTTCTTTTTAATGTCACCACTGTGAGAAAAAATAGCAGTAGATAAAAATCCATCTGTGGTATTTCTTTTTCTCACAGTGGTGATGCATAGTGCCAAATTTTATTCATGCTTTTATTTATTATAAAGCATTACAAGTGCAGAGGGGGCACCAAAACCTACAAAACAAGGTCTTGGTGGCTGATCATCTGCAACTACATTTTATTTAAAATTGTATATCACAGTGATAAAGTGTCAAAAGGTCAGCACATGCTAAAAAATGTAAAATGAAGTGACATGCACAGCTGCCCAGTTATCATCATCATCATCATCATCATCATCATCATCAGCCTGACTACGTCCACTGCAGGACAAAGGCCTCTCCCATGTTCCGCCAGTTAAACCGGTCCTGTGCTTGCTGCAGCCAATTTATACCCGCAAACTTCTTAATCTCGTCTGCCCACCTAACCTTCTGTCTCCCCCTAACCAGCTTCCCTTCTCTGGGAATCCAGTTAGTTACCCTTAATGACCAGCAGTTATCCTGTCTACGCGCTACATGCCCGGCCCATGTCCATTTCCTCTTCTTTATTTCAACTATGATATCCTTAACCCCCGTTTGTCCCCTAATCCACTCTGCTCTCTTCTTGTCTCTTAAGGTTACACCTACCATTTTCTTTCCATTGCTCGCTGCGTCGTCCTCAATTTAAGCTGAACTCTCTTTGTAAGTCTCCAGGTTTCTGCTCCGTAGCTAAGTACCGGCAAGATACAGCTGTTATATACCTTCCTCTTGAGGGATAGTGGCAATCTACCTGTCATAATTTGAGAGTGCTTGCCGAATGTACTCCACCCTATTCTTATTCTTCCAGTTACTTCAATCTCGTGGTTAGTCAAAATGGTTGATTGGGCGAGTTGGTGATACATGACTAATTATGAAATGGAAGCGCACAACGTAGAAGCAGACGGAAAGACAGGGACAAGCGCTAACTACCAACTGAAAGTTTATTCGGAAAAAATATGAAATATATACTAAAAGATGATACAGTGTCAAGGCACATACGATAACACCAAAGCACAGACCAAAAATGGCAACACCGATAGAACATTAGCATTAGCAGATGCCGTAGAAGTTAACTAATCAATGTAAAGCACAGTAAGCGATGGTAAGGTAGGGCTGACGCACTAAGATATTCTATCGGTGTTGCCATTTTTGGTCTGTGCTTTGGTGTTATCGTATGTGCCTTGACACTGTATCATCTTTTAGTATATATTTCATATTTTTTCCGAATAAACTTTCAGTTGGTAGTTAGCGCTTGTCCCTGTCTTTCCGTCTGCTTCTACGTTGTGCGCTTCCATTTCATAATTACTCGTGGTTAGGCTCTGCGGTTATTACCTGCCCTAAGTAGACATAGTCTTTTACAACTTCAAGTGCACTATTACTTATCTCGAAGCGCTGCTCCTTTCCAAGGTTGTTGTACATTACTTTCGTTTTCTGCAGATTAATTTTAAGACCCACCTTTCTGCTCTCCTTGTCTAACTCCGTAATCATGAGTTGCAATTCGTCCCCTGAGTTACTCAGCAATGCATGTCATCGGCGAAGCGCAGGTTACTAAGGTATTCTCCATTAACTCTTATCCCTAACTGTTCCCATTCTAGGCTTCTGAAAACCTCCTGTAAGCACGCGGTAAATAGTATTGGGGAGATTGTGTCCCCCTGCCTTACACCCTTCTTGATTGGTATACTGTTGCTTTCTTTATGAAGCACTATGGTAGCAGTTGATCCGCTGTAGATTTATTCCAGAATGTTTATATATACTTCATCTACGCCCTGATTCCGCAGTGTCTGCATGACGGCTGATATTTCTACTGAATCAAACGCATTCTCGTAATCTATGAAGGCTATGTATAGTGGTTGGTTATACTCTGACCATTTCTCTATTACCTGATTGATAGTATGAATGTGGTCAATTGTTGAGTAGCCTGTTCGAAATCCTGCTTGTTCCTTTGGTTGATTGAATTCTAAACTTTTCTTTACTCTGATAGCAATTACCTCTGTAAATAGCTTGTACACTACAGAGAGCAAGCTGATCGGCCTGTAATTCTTCAAGTCCTTGTCATCTCCTTTCTTATGTATTAAGATGATGTTAGCGTTCTTCCAAGACTCTGGTACCCTTCCCGTCAGGAGACACCTCGTAAACAGGGTGTCTAGTTTTTCTGACACAATCTGTCCTCCATCATTTAGCAGATCTGATGTTATCTGATCCTCACCAGTAGCTTTGCCTCTTTGCATGCTCTCCAAAGCTTTTCTGACTTCTTCTATCATTACTTGTGGGGTGTCATCTGGGTTACTGCTAGTTCTTATAGTATTAAGATCGTGGTTGTCTCGGCTACTGTTCAGATCTTTGTAAAACTCCTCCGCTATTTTAACTATCCTATCCATATTGGTAGTTATTTTGCCTTCTTTGTCCCTTAGTGCATACATCCGACTTTTACCTATCCCAAGTTTCCTATTCACTGCTTTGACGCTTCCTCCGTTTTTCAGAGCGTGCTCAATTCTCTCCATGTTATAGCTTCTTACATCGCATACTTTACGCCTATTAATCAACTTCGAAAGCTCTGCCAGTTCTATTTTGTCTGCTGTACTTAACACTTTCATGCTTGGACGCTTCTTAATTAGGTTCTTCGTTTCCTGGGAAAGCTTGCCAGTGTCCTGTAAAACTACCCTGCCTCCAACTTCCACTGCACACTCCATAATGATACTCGTTAGATTATCATTCATTGTATCTACGCTAAGGTTGGTTTCCTCACTAAGAGCCGAGTACCTGGTCTGCAGCGACACTCTGAATTCCTGTACTTTCCCTCTCAGTAATAGCTCAGTGATTGGCTTCTTGCGTATCAGTTTCTGTCGTTCCTTCTTCAAGTCTAGGCGAATTCGAGACCGTACGATTGTATGGTCACTGCATCGTACCTCTCCAACCACTTCCACATCCTGCACGATTCCTGGGTGTGCAGTCATTATAAAGTCTATTTCGTTCTTATTTTCGCCATTAGGGCTCCTCCATGTCCAGTTGTGGTTTTCTCGTTTTCGGTAGAAAGTGTTCAAAATCCGCGAATTATTTCGTTCTGCGAATTCTTCTCGTAGCTCTCCTCTGGCGTTTCTAGTGCCGATGTCATGATCTCCTGCTGCCTGGTCTCCAGCCTGCTTCTTCCCTACCTTTGCATTAAAGTCACCCATCACTATAGTATACTGTGTTTTTACCTTACTCATTGCCGATTTCCCGTCTTCATAGAAGCTTCCAACTGAAGCGTCATCATTGCTTGATGTAGGCGCGTAAGCCTGTACTACCTTCATCTTGTATCTTTTATTCAGTTTAATTACAATACCTACCACCCTTTCATTAATGCTATAGTATTCTTCTATGTTGCCAGCTATGTTTCTGTGAATTAGGAGCCCCACTCCCTGTTCTCTTCTGGCTGCCAAGCCCTGATAGCAAAGGACGTGCCCATTCTGTAGCACAGTATAGGCCTCATCTGTCCTCCTAACCTCACTGAGCCCTATTTTTTTATTGTAACTTTCACATTCATGTAACAAAAAACTTCCCATACACTTGTTTGCGAAGTTTTTATAATATATCCCATTTAACACCCTCTAGCTCCTCGAATAGTACAGCTAGACTTCCCTCACTAGATAAGGTTCTAGCGTTAAACGTTGCCAAGTTCAGGTTCCAAAGGCGGCCTGTAGTCCAGAGATTCTTAGCACCCTCTGCTGCGTTGCAGATCTGACCGCCGCCATGGTCAGTTGCTTCGCAGCTGCTGGGCACAGCTGCCCAGTATCTGTTTTCTATTCTAAACTAAACAATAATAATACACTGAATAAAATTTGAAATGGGTTCAGTGGAAAGTTTACCTTCTAGCACACGTGCATTTCTTCTAGCAAGCTGCCTAAATGGACAATGAAATGAAAACAAATGACATAAGATAGAACATTGAGCCACATGTGCTATCGTACTATTTGTAAACTGCTGCAAGGTATGGGGAATCAATTCATTAATTTCGTCTGAATAACTTTTGCATCCTCTAATGAAAGACGATAGTA